TGCCTGAGAGCCCTCTAATTTTAAAATGATATTATTTCAGAGGGAGGGGGTTTACATTCTCCACTTCAGGGAGGCTCCTGCCTTCCCTCGCAGACACCTGTCTGTTCAAATCGAGACACCTGGCAGAATCCTGGAACCATGGAATACCTGGAGTTGGGAGGGACCCACAGGGATCAGAGAATCCAAATCCTGCCCTGCACAGACAACCCAACCACCCTACCCCAGGCCTGGCAGTGCTGTCCAAGCACTCAGCCAAGCTTTGGAAGAACTGCAGCCCTCAGCACCCGTGCAGGCATCAGAGGTGACACCTGTGAAGGGCTCCTGGCCCAAATCCCAGCTGTGCCAGGGCCGGTTTTGCTCAAGCTCCAGCAGTGCTCTCTCCCTAACCCCATTTTTCCACCAAAAGTGATGAATTATGGAGCATCCATTCCTTCCTGCTCCGATGGGGGGTCTGAGAGTGCCCCTGAGCAGCTGCACAACGTGGCCCTGGAGGGAGCTCTCCTATGCCACTCCCTGAGTTATTCTCTGTGCCATTCCCTGTGCCATCCCTGTGCCACTCCCTGTGCCATTCCCTGTGCCATTCCCAGAGCCATTCCCTGTGCCATTCCCTGTGCCTGTCCCTGAGCCATTCCCTGTGCCATTCCCTGAGCCATTCCCTGAGCCATCCCTGTGCTATTCCCTGTGTCACTCCCTGTGCCATTCCCTGAGCCATTCCCAGAGCCATTCCCTGAGCCACCCCCTGTGCCATTCCCTGAGCCATTCCCTGAGCCACCCCCTGTGCCATTCCCTGTTCCATTCCCTGTGCCATTCCCTGTGCCATTCCCTGTGCCATTCCCTGTGCCATTCCCTGTGCCACTCCCTGAGCCATTCCCTGTGTCACTCCCTGTGCCATTCCCTGTGCCATTCCCTGTGCCACTCCCTGAGCCACCCCGTGCCACTCCCTGTGCCATTCCCTGTGCCATTCCCTGTGCCACTCCCTGTGCCACTCCCTGTGCCATTCCCTGTGCCACTCCCTGTGCCATTCCCAGAGCCATTCCCTGAGCCATTCCCTGAGCCATCCCTGTGCCATTCCCTGTGCCATTCCCTGTGCCACTCCCTGAGCCATTCCCTGTGTCACTCCCTGTGCCATTCCCTGTGCCATTCCCTGTGCCATTCCCTGTGCCATTCCCTGAGCCATTCCCTGAGCCATCCCTGTGCCACTCCCTGTGCCACTCCCTGTGCCACTCCCTGTGCCATTCCCTGTGCCACTCCCTGTGCCATTCCCTGTGCCATTCCCTGTGCCACTCCCTGTGCCATTCCCTGAGCCATTCCCTGTGCCACTCCCTGTGCCACTCCCTGTGCCATTCCCTGAGCCATTCCCTGTGCCATTCCCTGAGCCATTCCCTGAGCCATCCCTGAGCCATTCCCTGTGCCACTCCCTGGCTCAGTGGCAGGAGGTGACCCCGGGTGTGAAGTTCTCTGCTCAGGTCCCTTTATGCTCAGCCCCAGCACAGGCTGTGGGTGCTCCTCAGGAGTGCCCAGCCTGGCACTCCTGCTCTCTCCATCGCCATCCCTGCAGAAATCAGGGAAAGCCAGCCCAGCCCAGCTCCCGTCCCAGCCCCTGGCTCTCCTGTTTTTGCTGGCTCCCAGTGAGGTCAGCTGTGGCCCCTCTGCCACGCTGGAATCTGCTGATGAAAACTGGATGTTGGGGCTGCTCAGGCTGGCTCAGCTTAAATCCCAAGCCCTGCCAATTTTCTTACCTCATTTGCAGACCCTGGCAGCAGTTTTGATGGGAAGGAAGGAATGGATGTCTGGCTGCTCCACCTGCCAGCACATCGTAACTCACGGCACGGCGCAGAGATGTGCAGAGGATTTCACCTCCCCCCAGCTCTCCTGGCCACTGCAGACTCCTCCCAGGGTGTGACCTTTCAACCACCCGAGCTCCCAACCCATCCAATGCCAAGCAAGAGCCTGGAAAACCTCAGCAGCCCTCCCCAGGAGTATATGGGAAGGTGGTCAGGCTGCTCCTGGGAGCACTGGGCACAGCCAACATTCCTACCCTGCTCCTGAATGCTGCCCTTTCCCAGAAGGAGAGGAAGAAGGAGGCTGCTGCTGGTTCTCACTCCACAGTTCAAGTTAAATCCCAGGAAAACATGAAGAATCCATTGGAGAAAAAGTAGCCATAATAATATAAATTCAAGCTGTACAGCACTAATTCAATTTGCAGGCAAGGTAAATCTTTCACAGAATATTTGCTCAGTGCCTCAGGAATTTCCTATTCCCTGATTATTTTTTAAATCCACGGCCCACTTGACCTTCCCCTGGCACACCCCCAAAGCCCTGCTACAACACTGCACCAGTACAACCAGTTTGGAGCTGGAGGACGAGCTGCCATCCCTGCAGAAAGCACCCTGAGCTCCCTGGAAAGCCTCAGCAGGAATTCACCACTTCCACCATTCCAGGTTTAACTCTGCTCCCCACCTCGGGTCCCCCCACAGCACCAGTCTGCACAGAACGGTGCCAAAGCCTGCCAGAGTCAGGGAAGGACTGGAGATCAATCAGAACTGGGAGCCAAGTCCCAGCACTCTTTTTCCAAAAAAGCTCCGAATTTCGGGAAAAGACCCCAGGAGTTGGCAGCTCACTGTAATAAATAAAAAGGTCTTTGTTCATCAAAACGAGTATTAAAGGAGATAAGAATTTGAACTGAGTAGAGAATTTCAAGATATGAGAGGAGAAGGAGAAAGGAGGGGAAACAGCTTAAGAATTGTGCAGATGCAACTAGCATAGAAAACTGTGTAACTAATTATATATGTTAACTTTTAAGCCAAGGACAATCTCCAAGGAAGATGAGGAGCCTTCATTCCTACGACCACCAAGGGCAGAAAAAAAAAAAGGAAGAACCCCTAGCAACCAATTGCACCGGCGCAGAGTGCATCGAGAGAAAATACGTCAACCAGAAAATAAAAAAATAATAAAAAAAAATAAGAAGAAGAAGAAGAAAAAAATACTATAAAACAAAAAAGTCAAAGGGGAGGGTGCATGCTGTGGTAGAGAAGGGACTCTCTGGCCACCCAGTGCTGCTTTTTGCTTAATACCACTTGCTGAATAAATTCTTGTAAATTAATTTATCTATAATTAGCCTCCCTAATTGAATTTATCCAGAACAACACTAAGCCTGGCTTTGCCAAACCTGAGCCCGAGTCCCTCTCTGCCAGGAAAGGGCAGCACAGCAGGGCAAGGGGCAAACAGCAACTTTTGGACAGAACACTTTGAAAAGCGTTGGCTCCTTTTTTCCCCTTTTCTTTAGAGAATGAGATCATGCCCACAGTGCATCTCCTGTCCTTGCCAGGCTCTGCAGGACACCCGCAGCAGGGTGACAGCTGTGACAATTGTCCTGTGCCTCCCAGGGACACCAGGAATGCCCAGCGGGGCAGGGCAGTGGCACTGCCCCATCTCCCCACTCTGCTCCCCAGTGTCCCCAAGGATTCCCATCGCCCCAGCCCCTGCTCCGGCAGCATTCCAGGGTTCCCACCCTGCCACAGCTGCTCCTGCACCCCAGCTCTGCCCTGCCAAGGGCATTTTAAAGGAATTGCTCCTTGTGCTCAGCTCTGCAGCAGCTGCAATTCCTCCCTGGCTCCAACATCCCGATCCCGCATCTCCCGGGGGTTCTGTTGCTTCTATTTCCTCAGCAATTGTTTGATGAGCTCTCCCAGCAGGACTTGGCTCGGGATGATTCCACCCCTCCAAACTTCTCCTCGCAGAGCAACCAACATCTCATTAGAGCAGCTCAGGACTCGGTGGGAATCCTGCTCCTCTCCCGGGAATGCCACCGGCCAGGGCTGCCCGGGAATGCAGAGGGAATAGTTCAAAGATTAAAAAGTTCAAAGTCCTGGGAAATATTATCTCTGCAGTGTAGGATTTCTGGGGTGTCTGGACCAGTCCAGGAGCTAGGCTGCATGATCCTGAGGTTCCCTTCCAACTCAGGATATTCCATGATGGTGATGGCATCAAAGGAATTGCTCCCATCACCTTCAGCCTGGCTCAGCTTCTGCCCATCTGACTTTGGTTTGGTTTTCAGCTGGGGAATGTCCCCCTCCAGGCTGGGCCAGCCCCTCACCACTCTGTGAGGGGAGACGCAGCTCCTCCCGAGGGACAGCTCCACCTCTGCCCTGTGGGACAGGGACAGCAAGGGCTGGAGCTGGGCCAGGGCAGGTCAGGCTGGATTTCAGGAAAGGTTCTTCCCCCAGAGGGTGCTGGCACTGCCCAGGCTGCCCAGGGAATGGGCACGGCCCTGAGGCTGCCACAGCTCCAGGAACGCCCAGGCTGGGATTGTTGGGGTGTCTGTGCAGGGCCAGGGCTCGATTGATGATCCCTGTGGTCCCTTCCAGGCAGGATATTCCACGATTCCACAATCCACCACCTCAATGTCTCTGCTCACAGACCTCTCAGCTCCCAGCCCCAAACTCCCCAGATCTGCCTGTTGCAAATGCCAGAGAAGTTTTAACTTTCCAGCAGCTGGGAGCCTGTTTCACTGGAAAGGTGGGAGGTGAGAGGGAAAATGCTCACCTCCAGTGCTCGGTTTTGGTGAAGCAGTCTTTGCCCTGTGCTTGGAGAGGGAATCAGGGGATGCTCCATCCTCTCCCTCTGTGAATGGGGATGTAGGGAAAACCCAGGGGCCCCTGCATCTGCTCAGAGGAGCTTCACCTTCATTTAAAGCATTTCACTCCAGAAGAGCTCCTGGGGATGCCCAGGGTGGGAGTGTTGGGATTTCTGAACTTTGTGAGAGCTGTTCTGTGTTCACCCACCACAAGGGATGATCCATCCCCCTTCCATGGACTGCCTGATCCCCACAGCAGGTTCACTTCTCACTTTGCCCTTTCCTTTTGTGTGGTGAAAGCAAAGTTCCCCAGCTGCCCTCCACCCTTCCCTTGGTGAGCAGGAATTGTTGGACGGGGATCCAAGGGCTGCCAAGCACCGGGAAACCCCGAGGATCCCCCAGGAGAGAGCAGAGCTCGACTCACCATCCATGTCCAGGCGCTGCATGATGATGGCCAGCTCCACCTCACTGGGCATGTAGCCCAGGGAGCGCATGGCCATGCCCAGCTCCTGCTTGGAGATGAAGCCATTCCCGTCCCGGTCCAGCACTCGGAAAGCCTCCCGGATCTCTGCCGAGGGAAGGGAGAAAGAAGGAGCTGTTATGGTGGAGGACTCGGTGGATGCTGAGCACAGAAGCTGCAGCTGTTGCCTTTTTCGATGTTTATTGTGAATATTTGATCACCCCGGGGCAGGATGATCAGGATATGTTGATGCACACCCATAAACCTCCGTGCACTCCCACACAGGATATCCCGGGATCAGAGACACAGAACTGGAGAAGCCCTCTAAGATTGAGTCCAACCACTTAACCCAGCACTGAGCCATGTCCCCAGCTGCCACATCCCCAGGGCTGTTAACCCCTCCAGGGACTCCACCCTGTGCCACCCTTTCAGTGAAGATAATTCCCAATATCCAGCCTGAACCTCTGCTGGCACAACCTGAAGCTGTTTCCTCTCATCCTCTTGCTGTCACCCTGGGTGATTTCCTTCTCCATATCCTTCGTACAGCTTTTCTCTAATTTATAAAGTTTTTAAAGCACTAAACAGCATCAGATCAATACAAATACTGATGGAACATAAGGAACCACTTCCATCAATTGTCCTTTGCCTGGCTCAGCTCCTGATATCTGACTTTGGTTTGTTTTTTAGCTTCAAACTGCTCCAGCCCATGGCAGCTCCTCTCCACTTGTGTGAGGGGAGACACTGAGGGGCAGCTCTGATCTCTGCTCAGTGGGACAGGGACAGCTGGAGCTGGGCCAGGGCAGGTCAGGCTGGATTTCAGGAAAGGTTCTTCCCCCAGAGGGTGCTGGCACTGCCCAGGCTGCCCAGGGAATGGGCACAGCCCCGAGGCTGCCACACCTCCAGGAACGCCCAGGCTGGCATTGTTGGAGTGTCTGTGCAGGGCCAGGGCTGGATTGATGATCCCTGTGGTCCCTTCCAGGCAGGATATTCCACGATTCCACAATCCACCACCTCAATGTCTCTGCTCACAGACCTCTCAGCACCCAGCCCCAAACTCCCCAGATCTGCCTGTTGCAAATGCCAGAGAAGTTTTAACTTTCCAGCAGCTGGGAGCCTGTTTCACTGGAAAGGTGGGAGGTGAGAAGGAAAATGCTCACCTCCAGTGCTCGGTTTTGGTGAAGCAGTCTTTGCCCTGTGCTTGGAGAGGGAATCAGGGGATGCTCCATCCTCTCCCTCTGTGAATGGGGATGTAGGGAACACCCAGGGGCCTCTTCAACTCAGAGGAGTTTCACCTTCATTTAAAGCATTTCAATAGAGAAGCAGGAGGAAAAACTCAGCAGTTTGTTTTTTTTTTTTGTTTTGGGAAAAGATCCCCAAACTAGTCAAAAATGCCTCCATTCCCCATCAGGAATTGTGGATGGTAAATGTTTGGCCTGCCTGGAATAGTTCAGGCTTTAAGGGAAATATTCCTGGTCCTCCATGGGCTGCCAGAGTCCCCCCACCTCCTGTCCCCAGGAGTCAGGGGCTGCCAGACCCTGCAGAGGGGCCACAGAAAACCTTTGGATGTGCCTGGGAGAAAGGCAGGAGCATCAGAGCCCACCAAGGAATGGTTCTGGTGGTCTTTGCTAAGCTTTATTTAAGGCTTTACAATTCAAAATCTGCTTCTAAACCACCTCGTCCAGGTTCAGCCCCTCCCCTGCCCCCACCAGGCTTCTCCCACTTCCATGGCAGGATCCTGTTCCCATTTCCTTGGCAGGATCCTGTTCCCATTTCCAGGGCAGGATCCTGTTCCCATTTCCATATCAGGATGCTGTTCCCATTTCCATGACAGGATCCTGTTCCCATTTCCTTGGCAGGATCCTGTTCCCATTTCCTTGGCAGGATCCTGTTCCCATTTCCATATCAGGACCCTGTTCCCATTTCCATGACAGGATCCTGTTCCCATTTCCTTGGCAGGATCCTGTTCCCATTTCCATCTCCCTGCCATCCCACCCTGCTGGGATGGAAAGGTGGGGAGGCTTCTCAAAGCTTCAGCTCATAATTCCAGGAGCCTTTGGAGTAGGAATGAATCCCTGATCCCATCAGACTCTGCCAGCTGCAGGGAAATCTCCTTTCGTGTGTGGCCCTGAGAGCTCAGTGCAATAAATATTACACCCAGATCAATTAATGGGAAAACAAACTTGTGACAGCTGAAGGCAGAAGAATAGGATTCATTGCAGGGGGCTGGGAGAGGATTTTAGGAAGTAAAACACGGATCTGGAAAAGCTTACATGTGACTGAGACTGATCCAAGTGCCAGGGGTAAATTCCAGGGATAAAGCACACCTCTCCAGGGCTGTGCTGTGGAATATCCACACAGCAGCTCCAGCTGAGGGCCCATCCCAAAAGCTGCATTAACAGCACTCAACCTTTGAGCCTTGAGCAGAACAAAACCCTCTCCCTCCTCATTTGGGGTTTTCTGCTCCTCTCAAAGACCTGAACTTTAGACCAAGCCTGGCACATCCTGCCCAGATCAAGTCCCATCACCAAAGGGAGCCTTTCCCCTCCCCACTCTATAAATACCACTTGTGCAGAGGTAGATTTGAGCTATTTATAGGCTGAACACACTGTGCAGGGAGCAGTGTGACCTCAGGCAGAGCCGCCTCCTTATCTTGCCATGGAACAGCTCCTCCTCATGCCCTTCTCTTCCCAGGGTTTATTCCCAGGCTCCTGCAGGTCCTGCCCATCCTGAGCACCCTCCCCCAGCCCAGCCCTGCTCCCAAACCCCGCTCCAGGGCCCTGTGGCCCCTGCCTGCCCCTCACCTTCCTCTCCAGCTGTTACATTTCATTACCCAAAGCTAAAAATACAGCATCCCTTTCCCCAGATGACTTTCCCCACCAAGTCACCATGGCAACAGATGCTCCCGGCTCAGAGCTGCGAGGGGATGTGGTCCATGGAGTCGATCTATCCACAGACAGTGCTGGGGCTTGGGAGAAGCTTTGGGATCTTTCCTATTCCAGCATCTCCACAGGGATGCTTTGCCCTGATCCAAAACAAAAAAAGCAGAGCCCTGTTCTGTCTTTAAGGATCACGGGAGGAGGGTGTTGAGGTGCCAGCCTGGGTGGCAGCGGAGAAAACCAAGCACATGGATTTCCCCTCCCCTGGGGGGTCAGAAATCCCAGTATTTATTCCTCTTTCCCTAAGCAATGTCTTCATTTACTCTCAGGTGTGGCTAGCTGACACAGAACTGTATTAGAGGACAAAAGGGGAAAAAGAAGAGATCCCAGGAAAAATCAGAGAACAGGAAGCTCATCCTGCCCCATGGAATCACAGAGTCCTGCAGTGATTGGGGTTGGGAGGGTCCAAGGCTCATCTTGTTCCACTCTCCCAGGCTGCTCCAAGCCCCAGCCAGCCCTGGGCACCCAATCATCCTGATTAACACCTTCGTTAATTACCTCAAAGAGGCAGCAGCCACAACACGAATTAACTACCCCAAATGATCCAAGGCTGGGAAGAACTGGAAGGGTGAAAGTCCAGCAAGGAGAAAGGAAGAAATCAGTCAGGGTTTGGGGGCAGAAGGGGCTGGGCAGCAGGAGCAGAGGGTTTCCCAGGAGAGTTTATCCTGCTGCTCCTCCCTGGGTGTGAAGATTGCTGTTCCCCAGGAGCCCAGAGCACAGCACTCCCTTCCCGGAGTTATTTGAGCATTCCAGAGCTGTGGAGGGGAAGAGGTGGAGGGAGATGGGTTTGCTTTTCATTCTTTCCCTCTCTCTGCTCCTGTTGAGGTGCACTTTACAGCTGCCCCATTACCAAGCACACGTCCAGTCAATCCCCCTGGACTGAAATCCAGGAAAAGGAGGTTCCTTACCTTTCTGAAGGGCCTGACACCCTGCCCGGCAAGTGCCTAACTCCCCAAAATCCATCCTCATCCTCCCCTGCTGCTGCCTGTCCCTCCCCAGCCCTCTCCCTGCCCCTGCCCGACCTTTCCATTCATCTGGCCGGGTTTATTTCCACTCATTTCCCTGCCCAACCATCATCATTTTGTTGTGTCTCCTGGAGGAGGAATAATGATTCCCAGGAAAATGAATTCCATCACATGCCCTGGCTGTGGTTTGGGATGTAAATCCCACCCTAAAAGTGTAATTACCCCACCAGGCTCGCTGACATCAGGGAGGTAAGAGCCAAGATAACACCGCCCCAAATGTCCCCACTCATCACAGTCCTTAATTGCACCTTTGGGCCCCCAAAGTGTACCAAGGGAACGATCTGCAAGCTGCAAACAGCTCGTCCTTGAGTGAACCAGGGAGTGAAGCTTGGCACTACTACAGCTAAAAAAATTGGAAATTTCCAGCCCTCCATCTGCTGTTCTCACTCTTGGTTTTTTTGGGGTGGGTTTTTTTTTCCCCCTGCCGCAAATTGCAACAAATTGTCAAAATAATACTGTTTTTATCTAATGGCAATGCCCCCCCCACAACAAATTCCAATGGGAAGTGTCAAAATATTTCCCCTGGGTTTTGGGATCTCAGTGAAGCAGCCCAGGATGGGGCTCTGTGGTCCCCTGTGTCCCCCTGAGCTGCTGCAGCCTCTGGCTCCTCTGTCTTTGGATTTGATCTCCAGGCAGGTCCTGGCACGTGGGACAGGGTCTGTTCTGTATTTGCTGTCCCCAACAGTACAAAAAACAGGCCCAGCCTGATTTCCAACCAAAGAAATCATGGAGAGGAGTTGTAAAGGCAGTTTCAAAGCAGGCAGGAGCAGGCTGCAGAAATGGGGAATAACCAGCAGGACTGACAGGGTCCAGCAGCTGGGAGAGACACAGGGATGGCACAAACAAGCCAGTGCTCCTCACCTGGCACAGCTGGCAAAGCTCTCAGAGCTCATGGCTGGGGCTGCTCTGTTTGTCACAGCTTTTGGCAGGTTTTTATTTATCTCTCCCTTCCCCAGGAAAAACAAAAAAGAATTGTGGAAAAGATGTTTCTGGTGCTTCTGCTCCCAAGCACATGGAATATTTCCAGGTAACCTTTGGGAGCCCCCATTCCTGTGGAAATGCAGGACAGAAGGAGGGCTGCTGCTCCCGGATCCACCTTCAAAGGGAAGCTTTGCAAGGATTGGGAACCCTTGAGGGCAGGCTGTGA